TTAAGCCCTTTGAGGTGGATCTGGTGACTGTCGTTTCTCTTCAAAGAATCCTGCACATTCCTTGCAGCTTGTGTCTTACTGTCAGCAACCCTGGGTGGCTTCCTGATCCCCACACTCCTTCTCCAAAGAGCAGTTTCCTCCATGGCTTCCAGGAGCCTGAATAGGAAGCTTGCTGCCTGAAGCACAGATGTTGAGGATGCACGTAGATGAGTAGCAGGACATAGCCTGTTTATTTAAAGTTGAAATGTCAGTATCAAGAACAGCACAAAAATCTAATTGCTGAAGGACACTAGAAAGAAGTGAATTACTTCAGTGTTTTTTTTCTTTGGCATTCTTCATCTGAGAGCTTTTGAGTTCTTATTGATAAAAGAACTTGTAGATTGCTAAATTTAAATCAGTCTGCAGACTGATGGGAAGAGAAAAGATTGGGAGGGCAGGCAAGAAGTTTTTATTTTTCTCTGAATCTCTTGTTTTTCAGTTTCTGTTGAGAGCACCTCTTTGATGGTCTCTGAGGCTGTTGATATCCCAGACCATAGCTACTCTGAAGATTTTTGTTCGCTGGAAGTTCAAGGATCTCTCCACTCTGCAGATCTTTCTCCCTACTGCTTAACCCCCAAGGGGGCTGCAGACCAGAGCTGCAGTGCCCTGGATTGCCACACTCACTGCAGGTTTCACAGAACTCTCTCAGAGGGCTTTCCTGATGAGGGTGACAGTTCCCACAGCCAAGCCTCTGCAGACAGGTCTCAAGGACAGAAAAGGAGCTGTGCCCATGGCAGGACCTTGGACTGTTCCTCAGGGAATTACAGCCCCTCAGAAAGAGAACTGCAGAGTTCTGCTCAGGAGAGCAGTGCCACGCCGCCTTTGAAGCAAAAATCTCCCTGCTGTGTGGACTTCAGCCAGCCTCCTGCCACTTTCCAGACCTCTCCCTGTTTTGGGCCTGCAAATCCTTCACCATGTGCAAGTGGCCATGAGGCTGCTGTCCAGCAGCAGCACATTGCAAAACACCCAGCCTCAAACATCGTCCGATCCAGCAGTGCCCCTGTGTCCTGCTCGTCTGCCACTGAAGGTAAGTGTGGGACCACAGGGCAGCAAATGTGGAGCCAGTCACTGGTACTGATTTGTGCAGCAATTGGTGCTGCTGGAAATTACATGCAGTGTTCCAAAGAGGGTTGTCTTAAGTGTGAAGGCTTTAGCTCCATGCATGTTTTCTAATTTTGATATTTTTTAAGAATGGAAATGGAAAAACTGACAGAGTGAAATTAATTTTAGCTTTTCTAAATTTCATCATTCTTTCTGCACTGCTCAGAAAACCAAGTTTTGAATAGCTGTTTCCACCTCTCTGTTACTGGTCTTCTGAGAGGCTAAACTAAAAAGTGCAATGGCAGCTGGGGTTTATTTAGGAAACTATTACTGGAGCTGTCACGCTTGTTGTACAGCAGGATGTGTTTCCTCAAGATGACACTGACATTGGCAGTATTGGGGCATGTCAGAGGCAGTGACTGTGACTGCTGACAATGGGGTGTATGGTGAAAAGTTTTGAAGGACAAAGAAAAGAACATGAAGCACATGACAAGATGATAAAGGAAAAGGAAAGCTTTTGGCTGTAATGGATAACTGTCTTCTGCTATAAATCTCCTTTTAGAAAAGTAGGGAAGAGGAGATGTTAGGTGAACAGTATATCTTCATAAAAATCTGCTTGTTAGTGAATGAGAAAGGGTTGGTTTAGTAGAGAATAATAGCAGGAATGTAGAACTGTCTAAACCATTTGAAAGGGATCTAAGCTGTTCAGAGAGCTTCAGATGGATAACCCAGAGAAGTGGCTTGAAAGTAAAGATTAAAACTTTTTAAAATGCCATGAGTTGTGTTGCTACAAGATCTGTTCACCAGGCTTTCTAGGGGATCTAGAGGAAGAATCATGTAACTAGCTCAGAGTAAAAGGAAACAAAATATTGAAATAACTGGTTTCACTTAGGATGATATTTTGGTTCTGTTACACTTCTTGCATACTTATAAATTTCAGAGACTTCATACTTAGCTCAATAACTGTATGTCTTTTACCTTTAGAAATGTAGCCTCTGCATCTGGGCCAGGAAAAGTGAATCTTTTATCTAGAAGTCTGTATTTATTTTATGACATTTACTCTGCTAAGACATGCATGCTATGAAGCTGCCATGCAGGCAGTAAGTAGGAATTTCTGAATCTTTTCTGCTGTGTGAAAGTCAAGAACAGCCCTTTCTGTTCTGGCTGAGGCTCTGCAGTTTCCCCGAGCTGTGCTCCACGTGCTCGCTGAGCAGCGTTTGCCGTGGGCAGCCGTGGCCACGCGTTCCAGCTGGCTCTGACACCTGGTGGAACAGATGCTCTGCCTTCCTTTTTAATGTGTCCTAAATACATTCATCATCTCTTCTGGAAAAGTGGCATGGAGGGACACGAGTTGGACATTACTGAGACGTAACTGGGCTTAGTGAAGACTGGAGTAAAGAGGCAGAGAAAGTTCTAGAGATACTGACACACGGGAGGGGGAGCAAGTGCACTGACTTGGAGGGGCTGGGTGCTGAACTACTTTGCCATTTTTTGCTGCCTGCAGGCGACACTTCCTAATGAAATCCTTCAAAGGATTGAATTGAGTCTCTAGTTAAGCCTAGATGTATTTTTTGATGCATATATTTGGCAAACTAGTTTGCAAAATTTTACTCTGTGAAGGTTTACATTGCATTCCCTTCCTCTACTTTTTATTGAACATGATTTGGAAATCATACGTAGGTTAGAAGGAGCCCAAATCTAGTAACACATTCTGGATGTTTGTAGCAGCCCTGAAACTGTATTAAGTATTTTTCCTAGCTGTATAAGCATTTTTCCTAAGCTGTGATAAACAGCAGAAGTTCATTACAGTCTTTCTAAGTTTAAAAAGGCATTTGATCTCAATTTTTCATGACTGACTGTTGATATTCACTGCAGAATTTTCAGATATACCCACGGAATTGAATAATAGGCAAAGATAGAGGGACCCAACTGAGCTCCCTCAACCAACACAAAGTACTTCGAGTTTTTTTCAGTAGCATGCATCTACTTCTAAAAGTTGTCCTGGAGTAAAAGAACTGGTCAAATGGACTTGACTTTGTGAAAGACAGAGCTGTAACTACACATTGTTAGTACTCATAACTGTGGACTTGGGAGAGCTGAGGCTGGAGGAGCTTTAGCCATGTTCACAGAAGGGAAAATCCAGTGGTCAGATTGTAGCTGAGGCTTGGTTTTTCTTAAGACACTGCCTTTCTACTCCAAGAAAAAATTACTAATTTATCTTCTGCCTCACTTCCAAGCCAATGTGAAGAGGTTTAGAAGCACAGCATTGACATTTACTGTGTAGATTTTTGTGAAATGGGTTTTGAATGTTACAGTGATTGCACTGCCCATAGTTTGGAACATAAATTATTTGACATGGGCATGGTGCATATGTGCAACAGGACAGTGACACAACAGCAGTGAGATGTAATGAATTACCAGTATTTTAGGCCAAGAAAACACAATTCATTCATGGCTATCTTGACCTGATGGGGTCTATTTGGTATAGTCAAATAATTCTCCCATTAAACCTTTAATGCTGAAAGTGAACTTGTTTTGAAATACCTGCCATTCCTAGTGGAGAAATTATAAATGAAGGTTTAGTTTAATAACTGTCTTTATACTCACTCTGTACTCTCTGAACAACGTTAAAATGGTGGGTTCACATACCACTGTCAGACATAGTTCCCTCCTAAAAAAAACTACTTAAAAGTTGATAGTTTGTACATTTTTTCTGCCTTTTCCCGTGAAGTTTATCATGGCAAAGGCAGACAAAATCAACTCCTAGCACAGATGTTTATTACAATAAACTTCATTTATAATCAGCTGTGTTAGACTATGTGGCTATATCAGTTAAGTGCCTGAGTGATTATTGTAGTGTTTGTGTTCCAGATAATTCAGGGTCATGCCCAGTGGTGGTGTTTTGACTTGCCACAAGTATGTTAAACAGTTTAGTAATGGATGGGAAGACAGAACCTCTGAAGTGTCTCCTCTTAATAACCATGCCATGATTCATGTGCTGCAGTACTTAAGCATAATAGAACAAATTAAAGACAGAACAGAAACTGTCTCTCTTAATTTCTTACAGATTTTCTATGTTTATAGCATCTTACATTTGTTTCCTTCATTTAATTATTCACTCTACCAGGGAGGATTATGTCAGCTTTTCATTATAAACTATCTCTGGAGATGTGGAAGAAAACCTCTCCTGAGCTACCTAGAAGTTCAAAACCGTTTTCAATCTTGGAAACAGTTAAACAGCCAAATGTGAGGGTTTATTCCATCTTGTCACAAATGAAAAAAACTGCAGTGGTAGTTACTGTACAGTGTGATCTCATCATCATTGATCCTCATGCTGGAATCCCAGAAACTGTTATTAGATGGCATCCAGAGCTGTTTGTAGATGCTTCATAAACACTTGCTATTGATTGGCTCATCAGGTACCACCCTGCTCACCTACCCATTAATTTAAACAGTGGTGTGTTACATTTGTACTGAAAATAAAGAGACTATATTAAAAAAAAGAAGGGGGGAAATGGAATAAAATGCTGGTTTTGTAGAAATGAGAGGGATAAAACTTTCTCATTTTTCCCATTTTCCAATATAAATTCTGTCCACCCAAGAAATACAGAAGAGGTCTGAGGTCTGCCTCTGTAGGGAGCTTTGCATGGTTTCAGCACTTAGGCCTGAAATATTTAGGATTACAGAGGAAACCTAAAGCATGAGCTCTGTCTTCCTATTTGTATCTGTCTAACAACTCATAGAGCATTTTTGGGTGTAGTAGCTTCTCTTTATGAATGGACATCTTGAAAGCTGTGTTTCTTCTGAGTAGTTTCATTCTGTAAAGGAGATAATAAAAGGTTCCAATGCATTTTTCCTTGCTTTGGGCAGAGGACAGCAGGGGCTGACTTTGCTCTTTCTGTCTGCCTTTGGTTAAAGGTGATAATTGTGCCTGGACTTCTGTGTGCAGGCAGTGCCGAGATGCAGGATTATCTCCAGCTACAGGAGAAACAGGTGAGAATTGGTTTTCTAAAGCAGAAGATGGGTTTCCTTGTTTTCTTTTTAAAATAATGAAAAGTTTCTTAGAGAGAAATGAGCTTTAAAAAATCTGGGGCAGAAAAGTCAGTTGACAGCATACATGTATGGTGTACAATGCTGATGGAACCTGCCCTGAATGAAAATACATTCTGTGAGTTAGGTCCTCTGGTTTAGGTCAGCATTTTTGCTTCCTCTATGTTTCTCACTAATCCCTCTTGCATATAATTTCCAAGGCCTAGAAATAGGCACAACTTTAGTCTTAAAGTTGGGGCAAGGGCTGGGCGTAAAACTTCATGAGTTACATAACTTGTAAACTGTACTAACACAGAGTAGCTGGTGGGTTTCCTCATCATTAATGTCAACTGAAGTCCTTGCATGTGGAGGTAACAAAAATGTCTGGTTTGCAAAGTGCTTTAAATACTCACCCACTCATTCTCAAGGCAGTTCTCCTCGGCCATGGGAAGGTCTTATCCTGACCTTGGTTAAAATTACCCATTTTGTTGTGTTTCCTTGACTGCACATTTTTGCTACTCTTCAAACAAAACAGACATTTAATGACAAAGTAAAAACTTTGTGACAATATTTGTTTTGCCTTTTTTTTTCTTTTTTTTCTTTTTTTAAACTATTACCTTAAACCTCTGCTTGCCAGCATTCTTTGAGCAGTTTCCTACTAAGTGGACAACAGAGGGATACAAGGAAAATTGATCTGCACCTAAAGCCAAAGGCTTTGCACACAGTCTCAAAAGAGCGGCCACATTCCTTAGTGGACCTTAAGGCCTATAAAGACACAAAAATTTTAGTGGCAAAATTTTTGGAACATTCAAATTGTAATCTCCCTCCAGAAGTGCGTCACGTAGTGAACAGCATACGGTCAGTCATTAAATCTGATGAGAGACACATGGAAGAAGCCATCTTCAGTGCCAATATCATAGACCAGGTAGGCCACTGATGTTCTAAAGATATGTCCAGTTTCCATAGACAAATACCTTATTTAAATGTTTTTACAGTTTAAGTTCTTCAGACTATTCCTACAGAAGCTCTTTTATAGTAGCATGGTATAGTAAGAAGTAATTTGTATTTATTGGGCAGCAATACAATTTACACTACAGTTGAGACAGAAGGCCTGGCTGTGCTTTCCAGGTGCTCAGTCCTGAGCCCTGACCAGCTGCAAGGACAGAAGCAGGAGGGGTGCTGGAGAGCTGCACCTCCTTTGGAAGAGTTTCAGTGTTAAACAGCTTAAATGAATTATTATTCAGAGACCGAACCTTTTAAATAGAACTTTTCTTACCCTGTTTTCCCCATTCTTTCCTTGTCCATTCCTGCCTTTTTCACAGGTGATGACGAGTTCCCAGCAGAACGTGAGCAGCTGCAGGAAGCGGCTGCAGGAGGATCTGCACCTGCGGAGCTGCGGCGCTCTGAGCTCCGCCGCTGCCCTGGTGCGCCGGCCCCGCCTGAGGCGCGCCCTGGAGCGGGAGAGGCCGCACAGTTTAATCGGAGTCTGCAGGGAGACCATCCTTTGAGAGGATCCACAGGTATGTCATTCCAGCAGAGACACTCATGGAAGAAACCAGGACTGGGAGAAAAACAAGTAGTGGATGACTTTAAAAGGAAAAAGTGTCTTCCTTTGGAATTCCACTTTTTTTCCCCACAGCAGGATGAGAACGGCTGTTTTTCTGAATGTAAATTTCAGCCTTGATTTTTGCAAACTTTTAATTGATTTATTAGTTAAGTCATAACAAGTGTTTTCCCAATCAGAAATGCATTTATTTCACTGTATTTACAGAAATGCTACTGATGTTGCCCAGCATTTCTTGAAAACCATTGCAAACCGACCAGAGACTGGCTGTACAACTTAAAAGTTGTATTTATTTAATGTACCTCAAAGTGTTTTAACTATCGTCAGTGTTTTAATAAAAAAGTATTTCTGGACTTTGCCTTTTCCACAACTGATTTGGATCCAAACATAAAGGTGATTTATACACACATACAGTGCTGCTTCAAATCCATTTCCAGTGTCTTTCATTCCAGACTAATTGATCTGACCAATTAAAACTGCTCCCCCCTCCCAGCGCTGCCCTTTCAAACTCCAATATTGCTACGGTGTGGTTTATTCCTGCTTTGTTCTGAATATTCACGAGTTCAGTCCTGCAGCAGTGTGAGTGACCAAGAACTGATGTTTAATCCTCTGCAGTGTGTGACCAAAAGATGCATTAGGGAAGAAGACTGAAATTCTGCATTTCCAAAAAGCATCTTTCACAAACTGTTTACAAACATCAACTGATAGGAAGTTAGAGGAATTTTTATCTAGCAGAGCCTTGAATATTTTTGAAAAGAATTGTTACTCCAATTCATAGTTTTGACAATTTTATTACTAAAACATGTTATTGTGGTTCTGCTGTGTTTATGATTTATTTAACATTGATCTTTAAAAAAATATCAAGAAGTAAATATTGACACTGATTTCATTACCAGCATAAACACAGGTCTGCCAGCAACGTCTTCCAGTACAAGCTTCATCCTGGCTCTTTCAGAGGAAATTGGAAAGGCCTTAAATAGAAGGTTCTCATAAAGAACCTACCACAGGTTGATGTTTCGGGGTTTTTATTTTTTTGCAGCAGTGCTTGTCAGAAGCCTTAGTTTCCTTTTGAGGTTTAATCGTAAATGATTTCATTTGTGTCACTCTGAGCTGGGCAGACATCCTGTGAAAAGGTCACAAAGGAATGTAGCTGAAGATGGGTAGTTTAAGTTTTACAGATTCATCCATTTTAATGTATTTTAATTATAGCATGCTTCTGTATTGATGTGAAGTTACAGTGACATCCAGTGGCAACAAGGTGTGCTGACTGAAAGCTTCTACTCTCAAGATCATAAAGATACACAAATTCCTAATTCAAGAGAATATTTCCTTTTTAAAAAATAATCTGTGACCTTTGCAACTGCACTTAGATGAAGAATTAAATGATCTTCTACTTCGAATCTTTTACTATGTAAAGTTACACAACAAACAAAATAAGCAAGCTTCCTTTCTTATTTCAGATTTATTAGTGATAGGTTAATTCTTTCCTAAGGTCAGTTGCATGCAACACACTACTCCTTGAAGTACAGTCATCTAAAGCTCTTTAGTTACTGCATGGTAAGGCTTCTTAAGTCACAGTGTATTTTCTTCAAGGCCTTGGCCAAAAGAAAAAAATTAGACAAAGTTACACCAATTAACATTTATCTCATAAGGAATACAACTTTACTACTAGGTTTTTTATCTACACACATTCTAATACTGCTGATGGTGCTAGGTTATTTGTCAAAACAATTTACATTCAGAACACATTGCCTTAGGAATAAGAATGCTTTCTAAAAGACAGAAACAGGTAAGCATGGCTTTCCCATTTTGAGCTAATATGAACAAAATGGTAATATGCAAAAATTAAAGAAAAAAAACCCCAGCCCAACACATACATTACACAACCTGTGCAATAAGTTATCCATGAGATACCTCTGTTAAATCATAAAAATCACAAGCATTAAAAATAAATATGTATCTAAATAAATATTTTGATTTTAATCTTGTGGCAATTATTCTTTATTTAGCATATGAAACACTTGTTACATGTTTATGTTCACACCTTGCCAGACAGGTTACACTTGTCATAACAATACCAAGTACTACAGTGGTTTTCCTTACAGTAGAATCTAAAAGCTTGAACTGCACACATTCCTTTCCACTGAAATACCATTGATTCAGCACCAGTTTTAAAATTATGCAAAGTCATCAGTATTGGACCACTTTATGGGACTGGGATTTTTTTTTTAACTTGAGGCAGCCAGAACTTTCTCTAATTGCTTCTCTTTGCCATTTCCTGCAGTCTCATTCATCAAATATTCACATTCACTGTGTTATCAAACAAGACAGACATACATCACTCCACATAAAGGTTACAAATAAATATGTTTTAAGTTCTATGAGAAAAGAGTTTAGAAGATGTTCAAAATACTTAAATGTTTACAAAGATTTTTGTCAGTGATTATTGTCCTTGACCATCCTTCTCAACACTTTGTCAAAGAAATAGAAAGGAAGGAGAGAAAAGGCAGAGACACCTGTCTGTTCCTTGTTCTGGAGTCCTCAGATCAGCTTCCAAGCCTTTCATTCATACAAAATACAAAATTCTCTTCAGCTAGGACAGCTTCAGCTTGGATGGAAGATGTTAGATATACAGGGGGGTCTCTTGACCTGTTAGAAGCCTGAACATGGCAGCTGGCATAGTCTTCATGTGAATCTGTCAATTGATTACACAGACATTAATAGAGCTGGTAGTAGTTTAAAATAATCCATCTGTCCCTGTGGTCAAAGTGCATTTTTTGTCCTGACTTCTCTAGGTTTGTTACTAGAGTTTCTAGTTCAAAGCTCTCTGTTTTTAAAATGTTGGTTTGCTGTCTTTGCTTTTTCTCCTGTAGTTTGGGGGTTTTTGTTTGGTTTTGTTTCATTTTTTAATTATTCATTAAGGACAATTACTTGATGTCACATCATATAGTTTTAAAAGCCACCTAAACACTTTCTGTTGATACACCCTACTCCAGTTACAGTAAAATTTACAGATGTTAAATAAGTAGCACAAACCTCTCTGAAAATTCATTCTGCTGTTCTGGTAATAATGGATAATGAGATTTGTATTGTTATCTTCCTTCTCTGTGGAATGTCATCTCATGTTTTTACCTAATTACACTATGATCTCTGAACACAAAACTTGGACTTGGCCACCTGAAGTTTAAATGCCAATCAAGAGTTTGGTGGAACTGTTCTCTAATGGCTAATGTATTTAAATTCCTTCCTCAAGAAGTACTGGGACTCCAGTCCCCAGTGCCAGAGGGGTTTCACACACTGACAGAGTCCAAGGCTCAGGTAATCAGGGTTCCACCAGAACTGCACTTACAGCTCTAAATACCTGCTGGACAGCACCAGAGGAAGGAAGGGAAGCTTTACTAACTGATAATGCAGACCCTCCCCAGTTGCCTTGGTATCTTCTCTTCATGCTGTAAAGAGAAGTTTCATGCAATATTCCTATGTTAGGTGAGAAGTTACAAAGCAAAGATGGACCATAAGGGCATGGAGGGGCTGTTGGGATCTGCAGCTTTGCTCCTGACAAAGTGCAAATACTCTGATTGGCAAGTGCCACTTTCCAGAAGGAAACCAACTGTCTTTGATTTTTGTCAGAGGAACTAGTGGGAGATCTGGCCAGGGTTCTGTATTAGACCACCATTAAATTCAAGAGGGATTTTGAAAAACTGGACAATCTTGCTTATTCACTGCTGATCTCTGGAGAGAGGTGTCTTAACTTATTCACAAGGTAAGTTGGAAATTAAGTTATTAAAATGTATATCAATTTGCATCTCTCAGATATAATATTTCATTTCTATGGCAGATGCTGTGGTGATCAGCCAAGAGACATTTTCACAGCCAACACACCTGAGTGATTTCTTCCTTTAATTACTTGATTTAATTCAGACAGTAGGTTGAAGGTACAGAATTATGCCAGGAACTATTAAAAAATGAATGAAAAATGCACTGAATGTGCGTCATTGGTTGTTAAAAAAATTCTGTTAATTGTTTCTTATTAGTACCAAACTCAATGTACTGAATTGGTGGTTTTAATGCTGTGTTGACTCTTTTCAACTGAAACATACATTTTTTCAACTACTTTGCTTTCTTGATAAAGACTTTTTTCCTTACCTCTCCCACTGAATTAGACAATGCTTGTACTATCTTCTCATGAGCAGTAGCCACGACGCTCTGCCCATTGATCTCGATAATCCGATGTCCCACTCTTACCCCTCCCCTCTCTGCTATTCCACCTCGCATCAAGCTGCAAATCTGCCAAGAGAAAGCAAGGTTTAGTGAAGTTTAGAAATGTCATAATGCACATACTTACTGGGATTTAATGCATAATAGTGAGTGGTGACACTGTAAGGATTCCAGAAGATGCTTGTTGAAAGTATTAATCAATGAGTTTTTAAATGCTGCTTTCATGGTTTGTTAGAGGGAGTTTTTTTCTGAGATTTCTGCCTATTATAATTTTCAATTTCAGTCTCCAGCTGGGAACATAAAAATACCTTTGACAGTGGTACAGGCAGTAGCCACACAAAAGTGGAGACTGAGGAAGAGAGATTTATCCACTGTTGGGACACAACTTCCTGTGCCCCTGCAGGAGAGGAGAGGGCTCTGCTCTCCAGGGTCAGGGTCCAGCTTCCTCCTCCTTGTTCAGCCCTGCTGGCCACAGGGAGCTTGGGATGAAGAAGGCAAGCGAGGCCACTCTTCTTTAACTGGCAGCTGAGGTTCCAGTAAACAACCAGGCACAAGTTTTGAATGTTATGACCCCTACAGTAAGGTAATTAATTCTACAAGAACTGTATTCAGCACACAGTCCCAGCAGACATTGCTACTTGAAGTATTCTGAGGTTGCAACATGTGTAGAGTACAGGCAGAAAGAGAAATCTCAATCCAGTGTGGGATTGAAAAGGTTTCCTCCTTAGCAACAGTAGCTGTGCTGCAAGGGGATCCTCCCTGGCAGACCAGGCTGCTGTACATTAGACAGAAATTGCTCATAAATTATTTTAAAAGACTAAGCCCGTGAATCACACAAGGCAGATAATGTATGGCTTGAATCTCTGGAATTAAGCAGACTTTAGCAGCCTTGAGATTTACTTTACTTACTGAGAAAAATTCTTGGAGGAAAAGAAATGAGTGCTGGAGCAGCAGCTAATGCCTGTTTCTTCAGTTTCTGTAGTGGTTAGAGTGATACACCAAGAATCATTATTTGCTGCAATCTGGTCATTTGCTCAGAGCTAAATACAAGTGTGATATGATGTGGCTTGTGCCCCAGTGAGCTTGTTATCGAATTCAGAAGCACAGTATGTGGGGACATGGCCAGTCTGGCACACGTTGAAGGTAAAACTTTGTCTATGGTTAACTGGAATCTTTTCCTGTATGGCAGTAGCAGCTTCCTTTAAACTCCTCTCCACAAATAACAATGCTATAAAAAAAGAAATCCCTTCTCACTTGAAGTTCAGACTGTTTGATATGAGGAGTGAGAATACATCGTTATTCTTTGTTTATAAAAGGCCTTTCTTAGCCTTCAGAAAAAAGAAACAAAAAACCAACACATTCCTTCTGCAGTGAGATTTATCTTCTCCTACCATGCTCTCTCCAGTGGCTGAGTGTTACCTCCTGTGGTCCTTCAAGTATTTCTGATAGGCTTCAATGGGAAGAAGCACTATCACTTCACAGAATTGTGTCTTGAATTTCAGTCACATACAATATATTGTTTTGCAGGTAGTCTAACTTCTAATCACACAGCTCACAAGATAAGCTGTACTACACAGATCTCTTTTACAGAAAGCTTCTCAATTCAACAAACTGTTAGAATAAGTTTGCTCCTTGTTGGGGAGCAATAATCAGATAGGACCAAAAAGCAGCATGTACCAAAAGAAAGCCTGTAAATATATTTTTCATTGTGTAAAGGAAAATAGAGAGACTGTACAGCTGAAATAAAAGCTTTTGGAACAAATAGAAATGTGATCCCTCACCCCACCTGCATAAAGGAAGATATAATGGCTTGCATATCTATCCAGAGCCCTTTGCACTGTGTGGGTCTCAAAGCACTTTTAGCATTTTTAATACCATTAGTGAGCTTCTTCTTTCTAACAGCCCCCGACATAGAAAGTGGTCTCTTCATTCAGGAATCCCTCTCCAGGGAAGGCATGCTCCTTTTGTGAGCGTTAAGTGTTTTAATGAGGTAGAAAGAGAAACAGACACTGAGGCTGAGTGGCTCTGCCCAGGCTCCCAGACTCTGCTAAGCCAGAAACAGAACACACAGAGAAAAAAAATATTCTGCATTTACAGCACACTTTTAGTGACTTCTGTATTTGCAAGGGCTGACTCAAAGCAGCCTTAAGCCTTTGTCTCCAGCCAATAGAGCTATGACAGCTGAAGCCAGCGAGTTTAAACATAGCAATATCTCTACATAAATATGATTTTATTCAGCCAGGACTCTTTAACCTGTTGTATTTGTAGAATATGGCAACAGCTATAATAATATTAGATAAAGCAAGACAGATCTGCTTCTTGTAAGCAAGAGTCTGTATTCTATTAACTCTATAATCTGAAGGGAGAAAAAAAAAAAAAGAAAAGGTGCAAACCACGGTGGTTCAATCCACTCAGCTGTGAAAGGTTTTCAATGCCTTAGACAAGCTGCAGCACATCAGGTGTGAAACTTCAGTAGCTGCACAATCAGTTTTATTGCAACTGTCCATAGAGTAGCAAACCAGACAAACTTTATTCTGTGTAAATGCCTTAATGATAACCTGTTAAAACCAGATTTCTTCTCATCTCACTTTTATATTACACTGCTGAAACCCTGTAAATTTTTTGCCAGTTTAAATGACAGTAAACAAAAGCAGGGAAGAAAGAATAAAATGTTCTGTAAAGTTTTACTGTATTTTTAGAAAGCTTGTGCTAGGCTAGGGACAGGATAGATAGAATTCTCAGAGAAAGTGAGATCTAGACTGAGAAGTGGTGTTTTACCAGCACTAAAAATATAACTGGTAATACACAATTCTTTTCATAATCTAGAAAAAAATACTGTAATACACAGGGACCAAATATGGAAAACAATAATATGATACATAAGGACCACTTGTATTTAAATAACACCATTTTAAAAGAACTGGAGCATAATGATTTTCAGAAGGTGGCTGATAGGTCATTTAATGCTCACTTCCCATTGTACAGCATTCATACTTGTTACCTATATATGCACAACATCCTTTTTTTCAGCTGCAGCAGTGCAGTATCTGCATCTGCCCAACACCCTGTGCAGCAAACCCAGCTCAGAGGGTGCTTCTGTGTGACCAGAAGCTACTCTGTGTGTTTATGGGCTATTCCCACTATAATGGCTGTGCCTCCTGCACACATGAGATAGGCAGGGTGAAAAGGAACCCCTGCAAAGCTGCCATCAGAGGATGCACAGAAATAAGGCCCAGCTACATGGATAATGAGGTAATGGCCTACCAGAAAGAGACATTTAATATCTGTTCTGACAAGCCATTTGTTTCTTTGTTGTGCTAATGCCGAGCAGACAAAGAATAACAATATTTCTTCTGGATCCTATCATAATTTGTAACAATTGCTGGCAATTACAAAACTACTATTAAAGAGTACAGTGTCAAACTACCAGAGAGACATATTTTGCAGTCATATTTTCAAATGTTGAGAGAGTTTTTCAGAGGAAAGGATTTTACAGGCCCAGAGGTTTGTCTCCATAGCAGCCTAACAAAAGATGTTAATCTTATCATTTTGTTCACTGGCTTTCATATTCAAACAGGCTTTTCATAACTGAAATGCATTGCAAGGCTTTTTTTTTTCCTTCCCCTATATGAAATGGATTTTTTTTGCTGAATTTGGTGAACTTTATATTTGACGTCATTTAAATGTTGTTCATTTAACTGGAAGGAATGATGTGTCCGCCAGTGTGGTGACAAATGGCCAGTAGATGGAGGGAGCACACTGTGACAGAAAACAAGCAGAGCCTGCAGAATTTACTAAACTGAGGCCCCAGTCATGTTGGAGATGATTAGCAGGGACAGATTAATAAATAGGTTGTCACACAGACTCCCTGTCCATGTGAGGGCTTGGGATGCTCCTAATCCACCTTGTCCTGATTCTTTTCCCCAGCCCTGATCCCACCCCCACCAAAGCTGTGAATGGGTTCCTGGAAACTTGATAATCACACCACTGTGATGCTTACAGGCCCTTAAATACATTCCCTTCTTTTGAGCCTACACCAGTGAACATTTACAAAGAAGATTTACAAAGACGAGCAATTAGGAAAGAGATCAGTGCCTCAAACAGGGCACCCTCTGTGGGATGAGGTGAAAGCAGATCCTGGGGTAGGAATCGCTTTAGAGTGCAGCAGTGTCCTTTATATGTGACCTTAGGTAGGAACGTTTTAAACTTGGGTGGAGGAATAACTAAGAGATGGCCAGGAGAGCTGCAAACCCACTGCCCCCGAGCCATGTGTTTGCTGAAGTGCAGGAAGGCTCATGAACCACACCCGACCTGCTACTCTTCCAACTCTTCAAAGGGTGGCCAGCAGAGATATGGCAGCTTCAATCGATGCATTTCACAAAACAGGGGACAGCGCCCACAGCCTTTGTGATGTGGTTTTCTGTGTGAGCAGCCTGATTATTTTTTTTCCTAGACTGGAGGAAGAGGAAATGGTGATGGTCCTGCACTGCAGCCAGTCTCTAATGTAGTGTCAGCCCCCAGAAAGGCCAGTGACTGCCTGAGCTAGTTGTGTGGGAGTTTGCTTTGGAAAGGTGTCAGAGAATGGCTTGGGAAGGAGGAACTGCAAGAGGAGGACCCTGAGCTGCCTGGGGTAAGTGTTCCCTGCCACATTTCTGCTCCTCTTTGCTGCTGTTAGTACAGGGAAGCTGCAGCACACAGAGAAGGGGTACCTGGGCCACAGCCTATACAATTACTTTGTAATGAGAGGTTTCATTTTTATAGGAGTATAGTTTTAATAACAGGAGGTCACAATTATATTCCCTTGCCTACTGCCATGTGATCCACAAAAATTATGCACAGCAGAAGAAATTAAAAGTCTTAGTGAGTGCGTAATGAAATTTTAAAAAGAACAGAATCAGATCTAAGATTAAAGTACTATAATTGTAAAAACCTTTCTCAGCATAACTTTTCCTTGCAACTCTGGCACTAATGATCATGTTTTACGTGATCAGGCTATTGAACTAAATAATCTGGGCTATAAATCTTGTTGCTGTATTATGTAGAAAAAATCCCTCAAGAATTTCTCCCAGCATCATCCATTTGCATTGTATTACTCAGAGACTACAAGGTTTTAGTAAACACTAGAAAAAGTGAGGTCATGCAAGATTCTTTCACTACTTCCATACATTTTTTTGAAAAAGAAAAAAATAAAGGGGAAACCCCAAAACAATCAATGAACACAGAAACTTACAATTCCATTCTGTACACTGAAGCCCAGCTGGTATTTCAAGTCTGGCCGTTTTATGAGGACAGTTGTAACAGGAGGACAGCTGACAATGTTCAGTTTGACTTGTGTCTGATTCTTGAGTCCCTGTAAGATATTCCAAAAGTCAATATTTCTGAAATGAATCTTAACTGTGCCCTCATCTGTGATTTCCTAATTGTGAGAGTGTTAAGCAGCTGATCTGAGAAAGAGCAGTGAGAGTTAACAGAAATTGGTTGTTAACTTAGAGATACATTTATCTTATTTATTTCCCAAGGTATTTGGCTCAACAAGACACTAAAATTTTGCCTTTAATTACTACAGAAATTTAAACAAATCTTTCAATAAAAACCAAAACTGACTACTGCTTGCCTTTTTCCAGCATCTGGCTAATTAATCTCCTGCTTCTGCTGCTCTTGGTAAATCTGCACAGACATCAGATTTCATTTCCATGACTAAAGATAATGCATTCTGAGATTCCATTGTATCTGCAGATTCCTCATCTGTTCATTTGATCTGTCCTACAGTCTACCAACCTCCATCCATTTTATCTGCATGGAGCCCAAAAATGCATAGGAGATTTTAATCCTCATATTTTATTCTGGAGGCTGTAAGGAAGCTTAAAACTTTAAAGACAGCTGAGTAACTTAATTTAGGCAAGTTTTACAGACTTGGCCTAATTTGTTATAGCCCAGTAACAAAACTGCAGTCATATTCTCCAGCCCTAAATTTCTGTGCATTGTCACTCCTGAATCTCTAATTCTGCTTTTTGTTAATGAAAGATTACTGGGGTTTTTTTGCAGTGATATGAAAATTACATCTGCTGGAAATCTACAGGATCACTTGTAAGAAGATTACACCTCTGTTGGCTTACAATCTACAGCATAGAGTTGTAAGTTTGGGGTACCTTTATGATCCCTTGGCATGTTGCAAGAGGTAGGCCAACTAAACTGGTACCATTAATGGACATAATTTGGTCTCCAATGCTCAGTTTTCCTGAACGTGCCGCAGGGCCTCCATTCATCATATTGGCCAGGATAACAGTGGGTAGAATGGATCCCCATCCAGATTCCACAATCACTACCCCAAGAATTTCTCCCTTCTGTTTTTCTAGCTGGAGCTGTAATTAAAAAGGAAAAACATTTTTTTTTTTTTTTTTGCTTTGATTCATCTGACTTTGAGCATGAATATCTCACTTGCTCCCAAATAACATCTACAAATCACAAACCAAATTCTGTTCTTTGCCATTAGCATGACTTCAGTGTTAACTGGAATACACAGCTGTTTGTTTTCAGGGGCATTCTCGTTTCTTGAAGGTCATAGAGGTTTAATAAGCAAAACACTAACACATGGGCAACTGTAGGAAGTGGTGGAACTGCATGCCAAGGGAAAGAATGCTGAGGAAGTTTCTGTCCATGGAACCTGGTAGCCAGAGGGGGAGGCTCTAACATTCTGTGGCTAAGGCAGTGCCTGCTACCCAGGCTTTCTTCAGCTCCACTCCTGCCAGTACTGCTCAGGTTGCCTCTTGATCTCAGGGCTTGTCCTGTCCTTCTTTTCAGGCAAGGATCTCTTAATGATTATTAACATTATTAATATTGTTAATTATTGAATATGCTTGTGCCTAGCATGTTCATGTAAGATCCTCGATGTAATATAAATGATGCTTTCCCCTGAACTGTCAGGAATCACAGAACAGCTAACACCTATGAAGTGGAACAAGTGTTTAAGTAGAGAACATGCTCTTGAAGCAAATATATGGAATTATTTTCTCTCAAAAAGACAGGGAATGCTGATGGCCAGCTGACTTCTGCTGAGGTTATCTATTGCAGAAAGCCACAGCTCCATTGACTCTTGCTGTGTCAGTACTTAGGTGAAACATAAAATCACCTTACACTGTGTACTGTGAATAGCAGAGAGCTTATCTAGCTCAGATGTGAATGTACTTTATTACTGTTCTGATCAATGGAAACAGAAAGACCCTGAACATGAAAACAAGAAATCCTACTAAAACATAAAGCTGGTTTTAGTACACAGGACTGACAAAGGACACATCTTTAAATTGTAACATCATCCCTATAAATGCCAAAAAATATTTCTGAGAGCTACATTACTCTGAAAAAAAATGGATCAATCTGAAATCAAAATCCAAAACTAGTTTACCTCTTTGCAGTTTTCTGAATTGGAGAAGTGTATGAGATCATCATTGTACATCTCTTGGGTATTGATGATGTCACTGTATTCTTTCTGACTGAGATCCTCTGGGTTGATTCCATTGGCTCTTAAAAACTCTTGGTAAGCCACACTGAAAGCCTGACCAATTGACTGAGCTATGAGCTGTGCCTAGAATGTAGAAAAAACAGCTCAGAGAAAGGACGAATTAACAGTTTACCAATGAAACCACAAGAAAGGAGCGGAGAAATTGGATTTTAAGACAGAATCGAAACAAGAATCCTGCAAAGTTTCTGTGTTAGCATGGATATAAAGTCACTTTAAGGTCTGCTGTACAGAAAGAATCCATTCCATCCAAAATCACATTGCAAACTCCATTAAAATCCCCTGCTGCTCTCCCCTCCCCAGTACATTTCAGTAGCAAGCAGCCATATGCTGCTCATGTACCCGTTCCAATAAACACTGGAGAGTCCTGGCTTTGGCCCAACGTGGAGCAGAGCTGATGGAAGAGTGCCACAAGCCCTGCCTCTGAACACAGTGTGCCTGCAGGGGTGAGGAGAGGAGGGATGCTCTGTTTGCACATGCCTGCACAGACGTGTGTGCACTGATGATTCTGGTTGTGGTGTCACCTGCTGCTTTTCCACCTTGGTTTTCCAGGACTGAAAACACTGCTTCAACACAGCCATCTGTTCCCCTGTTACTGCCACTGTGCCTGTCCCACGTTCCCAGCAAACCAGTAATATCCCTGCTTACCCAGTGCACATCTAGGACAGCTATTCTCATTAACACCTTGACTAGCAATGTCAGGGATCATTTCAGGAATGCAGCCAGAGCCACGATTAAAGCTTGCTAATGCTGGCAACACCCATTCAAAATCCCCTGTCTTTCTTAAATTTTGGAGCACTTATCTGCACATTCCACTAGATGGCAAGGGAACACAGAGAAACAGGGATCAGCAAAAGGAATGTGTTGTTCACTTTTTTTTTTAATTATTTTTTTCCCTACTCTGAGTTTACTGCAGCTCATAGGAGAATGCCATGTTGAATTCTGTATAGTTGTGGGTCATCATTTGTGGGGTTATTTGGGCATATTAATAACTCCTGATTACATGAGACATTAATTGCACCTTACACTCCCTAAAAATACTACTAATCAAACCTGTATTCTGGAAATGCAACACAACTTCTTTCACAGTCAGTACATTTTAAATGCATTTCGAATGCATAGGCTTTTCTGGACATTATAAATCTGTATCTTCATACAATCCACTGGTCAAGTGTTTTCTTTGATGCTGAAAGGTTGTTTCCTTATTTCCTTTGTGCTGTTGTACACAAAAGCACCAATCTGCTTGACTGGAAGATGACTTTAGAAAATCAAGGACATAAGTAGCCTAACCAATCACAAATTGTTTCTTCATGTTTTAAAGCATATTTTCAAGTCTTCACTCTATACAAGAGGTTTGTACAGAATGATATAATATGCTGAGTTGGAAGGGACCCATCAGAATCATCAAGTCCAACTCCTGGCTCTGCACAGGACATCCCCAGAATTTCACCCTGTGCACCTGACAGCATTGTCCAAACACTTCTTGAACTGGGTCAGGTTTGGTGCTATGACCACTGCCCTGGGCAGTGTGGTAGTACAGAAGCACTCAGGACATTTTCATATCATTCCATTATTAAAGTTCCTCACCAGTCCCCATGAGTCCTTCTGGTCTCCATTGCCTTTGCTTTCTCTGTAGTTCATCCTCTGCTTTTGCCTTCATTCTGCATTCTCAAAACCAACATCTCCAGATGCTCTATTCTATTGCTGCCAGCAAGAGCCAGTTCTCACATCTTAATTTCATCTCTATCTCTGAGGTCTTGTGAACGTTTATAAAAGTCTTCAGCATTATGCACAACTTAGAGATAATGTAATTAAGCTGCTTGAAAAGGTTACCCAAGGAAAGCTATGACAGAGCTGAGCTAACTGGGTCTCAGAACAACCCCAGTCCATCACTCTAACCTTTAGTCAATGCCATTTCTCCTTCACAGGCTTAATTGCTTTAAAATAATGAAAATAGATTGCCTAGCTCAAAATATATGCAACCTCTGAGTTATGACTGTCTGACCCAAAGAACTTAATTATTTTTAATTTGGTATTATACCTAAATATATACCTAGAAATTATATCTATAGCTGTTTCTATAATAACTGTGATGACAAATATTTTGTACTGCCCCTTACTGTCAAATTAGAAACAGACAACAAATTTTGCTTTTTCTGTTTTACTGGTTTGATATATTTTTCCACAAATGTTTTAGGTTGAAGTCTCTTGCTCTGCCAGAGCAAGACAAAAGTACCTAATTCACTACAATCCCAAACCTGGATATAAAATAGCAGTAAAGCAAGGTTATCTTCTTTTGTCACAAGAGGTATGGGATGGTACATCAGCACTCTTCACAACAGTGAAACAGAATGTACAGCACAGATGGACAGAACTGTATGATTCTATATAAAAATTCTAATTCGTAATTTTTGCTAGGCATGAAAAAAGAGAACTGAAAAATAAACAGCTGCATATGTTCCTAAACACCAAAGGATCAAGTGGCAGGTTTGAGAGTACATACAACTACAGGTCAGTAACCACAGGGAACCAGGACTGGGTAGAGGACAGCCGTGTGCAGCCCTGCCAAGGCAGTACAAGCAACTTGGCTTCAGTTAAAAAGACGTCCAGAATGGTTCCACCTCATTCCAAGAGCCTGGAGGCACATGTGTGTCATTTTGTGCCAACCCACTGGACTGAAGGATATAACTCAGGATGAATGATCAGTGTGATATCCCACAGGTTAATTTTGCCCATGAATGGCCATTGACTCCAGAGATCTCTATGTGACCTATGTTGTTTAAATTAATAGATTGCATTTACTTACATCCTCGGATTCAAAGACATGGCAGATCATTTTGTACTGCTTCTTGCCCTCCTGGGCACCAGGAGTGGTTTCAATGCAGTCCTGGGAGGCGGATCTGGGCATGCGGCGCCGCGCCATCAGCACCACGATGTTGCCGATGTCGGCGATGTAGGAGATGGTGCGCAGCGCGTGGTCCATCATTGTTTCCTGCACAAGGCAAGGACAAACAGGACAGTTCTCCATGCCTGCTGCTCTCCTACAAATACTGCAGCTGCCCTCTCCTTGACAGCCTGCTGCTTGAGAAAGACAAAAGCTACAGAAGCACTTCCCGTGGTCCCAGACCGGTTATTCCCTCTGCAGTCCAAGGGAAGCACAGTGGCTGTTCAAGACATTGGCTTCAGTGGAAGTGCTGCCTGAGCAAACACAGCATGGTTGCTACTGTAAAGCAAGAATGAAGAGCTGTGCTACTGTTTTACATTTACTTTCATGCTGTTGGAAAATTATTGCGGAAATATTATGGAAAATTATGTTATTTCTTTATGTATTTTGCTGTTGTTAGGATGAGCTGTTCTTAAAGAAATAGAAAGGGCAGATCTGAAAACTGCTTCTGGCTGGGGTCACTGCTCAGATTGGAAAGTTTTTCCAGGCTTTTATCTATTGCTCAAACTAGACACAGCCAGAAGTGTAATAGTTGTACTGATTCAAACTGACTGTCCCTGTCCCTCACCCTGAACAGCTGAAAGCATCCACCAAATTCCATCTTAATTGGAACAAAATAATGTACAATATAATTCACAGTTTTAATAATTTATATAAGCAGCAGCATTCTTTATATAAACAGTTTGGCACTAATTTAGCATTAGTTGAACTATTTTCTAAGGCCTAAGGAAGAAAGACTATTCTTCAAGTGAACAAAAGTAATTGTTTTATGAAATTCAGTGCAATTTTTTGACAGACAAAACTATAAATTATCATTGCTTCTCAGAACCACTTGTCTTGCTGAAGATAATCACTACCCATAAAATTATTGTAATGATTCTTCTCAGCCTTGAAATAATGCTTATCCCTAACCTAGGAAAAGTAATGATGGTTAAGAGATGGTTTGGGGAGTGTCTCTAAGGGCTGCGGGAGCTCAGGAGGATTTACAGCACTTCTCTCAGAATGGAGAAACGTTTTATAATGGACATCTCTCAGCAGGATGTTGGGAGCTCTGCAGAGGTAATTGCTTTTCAGCAGTGTGCACTAAGTATTGAGTAAGGGTGTAATCAGACATGCAGTGTGCACAAGAGTGAATGCATTGGGAAAATGAAGGTATTTCATCTCACCTGCCAAGAAAGGCTTTCTGCCCATATCATCACACAGAGGTTACTCAAAGGGTTTGAGTCTTTTTTATTTTCCCCTTGTAAGGGTGAAAGCAATCATTTCCCCAATCCCTCCCACATTTTTCCTGTTAAGAATAAGGCAAATACTATCTAGTGACTGTAAACGAGTTTACTTTTGACTTACTTCTGACTTGACTTCTTCCTTTCTCTCTCCATATTCTATTGTACTCAATTTTCCATTACCAATACCTCTTTTTCACCCCTCTCCTTTATTACTGTCCCATAAATCCCCCTATCTTTGCCCACTGGCCTCTCTGTTCTTTCCCTTATCCCTTTTCTAGTCCCATCCATTCTATCCTTCTTGTCCTTATATTTATCCTTAGAAATTCTGCCTCTCTCAGGCTTTTCAGAAACCATTGTTCTTTTCTCCTGTCTAGATTACCCTTTCTCAGATTCTCTCTTCTTTTCTATGGAATTTTTTTAGAAAAACTCTTTGTTGTTTCTCCTGAAACCCAAAGAACAGCTAAAGGAAAAAACCTCAGCATTCCTCCAAGCTTTGAAGTTCTGTAATCCTGTGGGAGTGTGAATTAGACAGCCCAGTGAGTCAGGCGAGTTTATGGAGCCGATCATGTGCCAGAGGCTCTGCACATACACATTTGTGAGCTCTACATCTTTATTTTTCCTTCTTCATTTTCCTAGATGCTTCACACCCAGCTTCTCTTCACTGACTGAGCAGGAAGCTGGGAGAAACTGCTGTGGCTTCTGCTGGTTTGAGGCACGGAGTGCCACCCCACAAAGCTGTGGCACAGGGAAGAATTCCTCTCCTATCAACAAGGCCACATGGCCAAACATAAGGCTGCTCCTACTTCATCCCTGCTAAACAGGTGCTCAGCTTGGGCTGAATGTGTTCAGCAACTAAATGCATAAGCAACCAGAAAGTGGCAGGGGTGCCATTTCTTAGTCCTGTTCAGGGTAACACAATCACCACCTCTCTTCCAGCCTGGGAATGCACCTGACTGGTGCTGCTCAGCATTTTGGACCTTGTTGCATGTCATTTTCTGAATGGGAATTTTAAATTTTCATTCAGCTGTTACCTCACGTGAGCTATACAACACTACAGATGGATTAAAACACATGGCATACTGCAGAAATAGGGTTTATGTAATTGATAAAGCCATGAAAATACAGATTGTCTCTGCCAGCTGCCACTCCAGCTGAAATAGAACCATGGTAATTACAACAGCCAGGAACTTCACTAGCACTGAAAAGTGTTACCAAACCAAAAATGCTAAAAAGTCATGGAAATAATTTTGTTATAGCTCTCTGAAAACACACTGTAAAAAAAAAAAACCAAACAAAAACAAACCAAGAACAAAAAACACAACCAGAACCGCAGGGCAAAGACTAGAGAGCCTGAAATAAGAACAATTTTCACCATTACTATTTTCATCTGGTTGAACAGCTCAGATATTAGACACCTCTCATGATGGAGCATTGCATTTTGCATCACTACAAATCTCAGGGGATCAGGAGAGTAAGATGCAGGATCCTTTGACAGTGTTTATGGGCTACTTCAAAGGAGCCCTTTTATTTTTGAAAAGATTGATGTTCAGCTGAAATGCTGAACTATTTAAAGAAATAAGAAGAGTGACTTCCACTAAGACTAATCCTTATTCAACAAAGACACCATACCTGTTAACTGCCATACATTTAAACTATAAACTGTAGCTGTTCATTTATCAATAACTGTCTGTAGTCATCTTTACACTGATAATTATGAGCATGTTATTTTCTGCTAGTGCAAAAAGTAGCTATGAGCTTTGATAATATAATCTCTGGATGATGCATTTTTACCAGGAGGTCAAGAAAAGGCTGAGCCATCAGCAATAGTGATATTGCTTATGGTGGATAAGATGCAGTTTCAGGGTGATTTATGGATGGCAGGTTGTAAATATTGCCCATGTTAGATGGGCTGTTCCACTCATCTGGCTCGTCTCATGGGAATTCCAGTGGCATGTTAAAGATAATTTGCTTATATTAAAAGAAAAATAATCAATTTCCTGGAGATACTATCATTGCCCTCACATTAAAGGATAATAATGCTCTCCTAAATTTCAGGAAGAAGAAGATGCTTCATAGTCTCCATTTTCGAAAAACAATTATAATTAAAACCAAAATGCTAAATGTAGAGTTCTACATTTATCTTTGTTCAAGTGTCTCCTATAGTTTCACCTCGTTTCTTAATTTAGCCCTATTTCTGAACTCTGATCTCATACACTAAATTACAAGTTCAATAACCATTTTCTCTTTCTATTTTCCAAGTTGTTTATGAAAATACTGAACAGTACTGCATTAGAGAAATATGCCTGTGAGTCTCACTCTGCCCTTTTTACATTGCCACATATGTGCCAATGTATCAGATATAACTACACTCTGAAGTTTTAATAAACCTACTTTTATCTCTAGATATATATCTAGATCATACAATCTAGAAAATATTATATGATATTAAAGTAAACAGATGACAGGTGCTGCTTCTGTGCCATGGACAAATATATCCCCTAAACAAAAGAAAATAATTGACTTGACAGGATTTACTTCTGACAAAAAGTTGCTAAAATTGCCCTTTTCAATGCCTCTCATAAGAATGAAAATTTGAAGACTTCCTGTAAGTATGATCAAAGTTAAGAGATCTTGTGAGATTAAAATATTGGGATCCATGTATAAATTCTATATATTTAGTTGTAAATTCCTCAAAAACTCCTTTTTATGAAGATCACCTCTTGTTGAATATACAAGCATTCCTAGAAGTTGAGGCTGATCATTGCTGTGGTCTCCAGATGCTGCTTTTATATGAATGATTAATAATTTACCTTAGGCATGAGGATGGTGGCTCAGATGTGATTTATGGGAAAAAAATGAGATTAAATGTTAAAAATGGCAGGATATGAATGGCTTAGTCAAAGCAGCAAATTACTTCGCTGTTGGGCTGTAAATCTGGGTTCTGAAGCTGTTCCAGAGGAGTGGTGTACATGCATTCTGAAAGGCTTTTGAATCTTTTTTTGCATTGAACTTAATTATAGCTCAATTATAGCAACATGCAGACATCTTCCAATACATCAAATAAACAAAACAGGTGTCAGTCTTACTCTATTGGCATGTGGTAGAACAACAGGAGCTCTTTCTTAATACTCTGAATACCTGAATTTATCTAGATTCAATAAAGTGTCTCACTAATTGTATATGAGCACAGTCTAACTCAACAAGAGTTTAAATCCAACTTACCTGTGTGTCTGCATTTAGAACTTTGATTCTCTGTGTGGAGATGAACAGATCCACTTCAGTCAAGGCCTGGGAATCTCCTTCTGAGGTCTAAAAGACAGACTCTTTGTTACAAGGGGATTTTTATTTTCACAATGACAAATTCACTGACTGCTTCAAGCACAATGTGATGTGAGGCAACTGCACTTTTAACCATTACAGAGCTGGCTAATCAAAGGTGCTTCTAAAGACATGCAAAGAGTACATTTATTGCATAGACAGAGTGAAGCCTACTCTAATCTTTTGGGGAAGAGGGAATTTTTGGAACCTGTGGGATTGGCAGTATGAAAATTCTCTATTTATAGCCAAAACAAGTGAAAAAGTATGGCTGTTTTTTCCTCACTTTCTCACTGATGCACTTCAGTACTTGAGGCACCAGACTTGAGGAAGTAGGAGAACTGAGAAGGTGACTTAGTCCCCATCAGCTGTTTAGCCCTTGTCACCTTCAGTGAGCTCACTAAAAAAGGTGAAAACTGATGCTCAGTACTGTGGTGGGGTTTAGGGGTTTTTCTTAGAAAACAAAGAACTGAGCACTGAACTGATATTTCTCTCATATCACAGAAGGCCATCGGGGGACTTCTAGACCCCAGCTTGTCTGAGCACTGCTCGCTAGGGAAACACTTCCATTCCCCATCAGAGGGCAAGAGGGATTACAATGTAAGCTCCTGCTCCAGGGTGAGTCCTGCCTCTGTCCACTTGGGAAAACAGGAGAGGAAGGAGCAAAGCAGCTGCTACCTCTCACTGAAGCATTGTCCAAGAGCTTTCCTGATTCTCTAGTCCAGCAGGAACATAAGGATTCCTCCAGGCTGCTTGGTGACAGGGTACCACTGCAGCTGGTATTGAGCAGCACCCGTGGCAGCAGCCTCAGAATAAAATGGCCACAGATTGCCTCAGCCTGGGCTAAAGGCAGGCACCAGCCTCCAGGTCAGACACTGACTCATGATGAGAATGATGTACTTGCTAATCTTTTTTGGAGTTACAAAGGCTTAGCTATACTTATAATTAATTTAGATTAATTTTATTCAAAATATCTCCTAGCAAAATCCAAAGCAAGCCCATACTTTGGCAGACACTACTTGTATTGCTTCCATCCTTATGGTGATATTTTTGTCAACTGTATTTTGTTATCTGAAGTATTGTTTTTAACTGAGTGCAATGTTTCCTTTATGAATTGTTCCAGCTACTACGTGGTGAATTTATTTTGCTTTTAAATATCAACAATAATTTAATAAATATACAGCAAGTCACAGGCACAGGAAGTATGTCTTACTGCTTTGGTTAGTAAAATCAAAATAAGCATTACGTTCAAAAACATTCCCAGATGACAATGGCTGTACATCTGGAGTAAACAAATCACAGGTATTCAACAGGAGAAGGGCAGCAGACAGGCACTCCAGCAAATGAACAATGAAGAAAATGAGTTCATTTTATTCCATTCAATATTCTACTGCAGAGCAAAGAAGAAACCAAAATGACAACTTTAGGAGGATCTGTAATGAAAGACATGACACTCCATGGAAAACAAGGACAACAAAAATGTAAGTAAACATTAGCATTCAAGAAAAACCGTTTACACACCGCTTTTTTCTTGATTTTAGCCGCCTTTTGCATCCTCTGAGGAGTAGCATAAAAAAAAGAATGCAGACAGATGTACACACAGGGAAAGAGAAAAGACAGTGTGGGAAGTCAGGGAAACTTTGACTGTGAATCCAGACTGCTGAAAATTAAAAAACTGGGAGCAGTGAGGGAAGGAAGTGCAAGAGAGAAAGGTTTGTTTATACCTTATGCAGTTCTCAAGCATAATTGGATTTCATGGCATTATGCATGTTGACAATTGATTATAAAATAATCGGTTCCAAAGTGTTGTCTGTTATCAGCTGCTCCCAACACTTATCCTGCCAAATTTACTGCAGCCAAAAATGGCAGCACATGCATCTTAAACCCAAGGTTCTGTGTCCATGTTCATCACACATCTACATGTAACTGTTGAACAAAACACAGCTCAAGCTCCCTGCCATGACCGTGTAGAGTACTCAAGTACCCCTGACAGATTAGGGTTGGTATTAATACATAAAAAAGTTTTTAGGAAGTTAATTGCAATCAGCAATTACTGTAGCTTGACATATCACAATATGCTAAATAAAACCAGAAAGGTTTGAAAAGTTTAAAGAATTGGACCTTTCTTGGATTCCATTTCTTTCTAAATGCTAAATCAATCATCAGTCATGACAATCTCTTGTAAGTGGCCTTTCCAAACCCATTTCTTTCAAAACCATGCACATTTTAGCAATTAAATATTTCATTGACTATGCAGATACTTCTCCTAGCATTTAAATCTGCCTCTAACAGTATGTTTATTCAGATGACATATTTACAGCAGAGGAAAAATAACTTTTAAAATAAAAATCTCCTACTTAGATTCTTAACCAAAACAACTATTTTCTTTACCCAGCTGTATGAAGCAGACTATGATACGTTATTTACAAAGAAATTGTTCACTGCATATAACACTAATCCAAACACAACAGCAATGAACATCCTTGTCCTAAAAAAGTCATAAGTAATAATATTGAGACTAATTTTCTCAATTTGTAGTAAGTTAAAGGAAGTAATAACAGAAGAGTAAAACCACAGTCAAACAAATACCCCACTGCTTTGTCACTGGAATATTTTCTAATTGCAATCTACAGTTTGTCTCTCGAATTTGTTAAACAGCTTCCAAAGAATTTTGAATAGACTTCAGAATAATTTACATTTTGCTATATGAATTTTTACAGAAAGCACTGTAAACTAATGGTATTTACAATACTGATCTATACTTACCTAACTACATCTCGGGAGAGGTTTGAGGCTGCAGATTCTGCACCATTCAGGGATCAGCTGTTAAAGGATCAGAGTATTCTACAGCCCATAAAGATCCCCTACCTTGACACGACTCACTGCCTCCTGGGCCTGCATCATTCGGATGTTTTTGGAAGGGTTTCGCTCAGACAGCAGCTGGGTGGAGCCCAGGTAATTGGCTGCAAAGATGATTCCATCAATGAGGTCCTCGGGTTCACAAGGCCCTGGAACTGACAGGAGGCATTTCCAGTTACTGCCCTGCTAAGGAGGGGGGAGATCAGAAACTGAATAATGGATATTGAGGCTTGAACAACCTTTCCCATACTGGGACTGTGCTCACCATCCTCTTTATTCAGCTGTTAAGCTTTACATCCAGCTTGATTAGATTGACAGTCAAGAAGAGTCATTCCAGAGTTTGGCTGAAATCTCTTGATAGTGAACATTTTTTTATTCCTCAACAGTTCTATAAAAGAAATGTACTTTGAGCTAGATCTACCTGATGACCTTCTAATGCATTTTTTTAAAAGTATAAAAAAATCTTGTGTGAGGAGAAAAATGACACTGAAGGGGAATGTAAATTTTAAAAAAGGTTTATTGTTCAGTGTTCAATTTATTTATACTCAAGTCAATGTGGAAGATTATTATTTGGAAAAGAAAAAAATATATGGCATGCTATGCTGATTAAATGTACAGAAATAGTGGTTTACACATACATCTTTTAGTGAGCTTTCCTATCCTTTGTATTCCCATCTAATTTAGCAAGTCTTCCAACAGAATATAAACATGATTAAAAGGAGTGACTTTCCACTTTAGGCAGTGTTGCTAACACTTATTCATCCCTGCAGATCTCAGATCCACCTGCCAGAAATCTCAATCCCCAGCCAAAACCCACAGTCTTTGTAATTTAATACTCAAGGTATATAAACATGTAGATATATATTTATACCAGTCCTGTACTCTTCAGAGACCTGAGATTAACTAACAATTCCCACACAAATTGGAGTTATTTGGTTTGCTGTAAAACACCATAGTTTTAATGCTCAAAAGGATAATTATATACCACAGAACACATTTGATTTAGCTCACATCTGTGCAAATCCAGTAATGGTTTAGATCTTCATTATAACTCAGAATAGAATTCTGTGGTATTTTAAAATTTTGAAGTATTGGAAAAGCATAAAAAAGTATCTTGACAATCTCCACTATAAGTATGAAAACCCTCAAAGAAATCCTTGAGAAGCCAATAATTTAGAAGTCACTAAAACTCGTCATAAAGGCCAAGTCTTTCAAAACCTCAAAAAACAATCTTTGTTCTTGCAGCCTTAATTCACTAAAAGAAATTAAAGAAAATGAAAATTCCACAAGAACTCCATTCTTACATCACTGCTTATATTTGCTTACATCTCTGTGCAATTCTTTTTCAGCAGATGGATGGTGTATTTTCTATGGTGCCTCTTCTGATGGTGTTATTCATTTGTCTCTTCAGGTCTAAAACTTAAGTCTCATACATCTGTACTTCTTCCAGCATGCAAAAAAATACTAGTGCTGCATGATATTGACATCTTGTTTCAAGGGCAGTAGAAAGGGAAATTAATTAATGATATGAATTTAATGTTAAGGTAGCAAAACTTCATTAGATACCTGCATCAACACGCTCACTCAAAATTAAAGTAGCTTTAATTTTGTTTTCTTTCATTCACTTCAGGCTAAATAAATGAGGCTAAATTGAATCAAGATTGCTTTAACTCTGAAATAGGTTTACCCACATGTTTAAATCAGTTTAAGTAAACTCCCTTAGTAGGTAATTTAGATTAATTTTCTTGAAATGTTTGTGTCTGAAGACAAGTAAAACTGCAATTCTTTGTGCCAATTCTCATACAATCATTACTACATCGAGCAAAATGCCCAGGGTATCTTTGGGGTCTGTGCAACCTATGGATACTACAAAGGAAAAAAACCCACTTTTTCTCATGTCTTGGCTGCTTGTGATAGCAATGGTGTTTTAAACTAATTTGTATGAAAAAATTCTTGAGCATGGAAATAATCTAGGGTGTTAAGCAATTTTATAATCCTAATGTTATTTATTTGGATTCCTTAAAGACTGGGGCTTTTTGGTTGGATGTCATTGCATTGTCTCTTCATAGCTTTAAAAAATGATGTTTTGCAGAATCATTACACTAGCAAAAAAGTCAGCTACATCATGTATAAATCAACAGCATGCAGAAAATGCTAACAGCAGTAGATAATACAGAAAAAAAAAAAAAAACAACAAAAAAAGACATATTGGGCAGAAAACATTTCCAACATACATTTCCCATCATGAAGGCAATGTAAGCAACTGTCAGGTAAAACAAGACTTCTCTTGGAAGGATGGAATGGTGCTGAAAATTGCCAGGGTCAAATTGGGTCAGCTGGGTGTTTTCTTCCCTTATCTCTGCCTGCTTTAAATAATGCAAAAATGCAGACTTGGCTGAGGTCCCAGCTCATCAGAGCACTTAAGTATGCCCTTGACTGCAAGTGTGTGTAAAGGCTTACTGATGAGGAAGGGAAGAAGGAACAGGTTTCAAACATGAAGGTTAGTTTGATGTGAGCAAAGATTACGATTTTATGTTGAATATTGGTGCTTAAACATTAGATAACTCTTTCTGAAAAGTCTAACTGCAAATTTCTGGTTTTCTGCTGATCCACTAATGTAACAAATATAAGACTAAGTGGACTAGGTCCAAACATTTTAAAATTAATGTTTGTATTCATAAAATAAGAAAAAAAGAAAACTCAACCAAAAAAAAATCACTAATTTAGCATAACTGAATTCATTAATCTGTTGGAATGCATTTTTACATCTACCTGACATCATGTAAGCCAAGGATTCAGACAGTATTTAGAGACTGCACTGAGCACAGAAGTTCAGTTTCCTGCTGAACTCTCAGACTCCATGAAGTCACTGAGACCTTGGGATGTTTGGCACAGATTTTTTCATAAGGAGTAAATGGACACAGGGCATAAGTCACCTTGCAGAATGTCTAACTACAACTCCCATTTTCTGACTGACTTCTTTACTTCATTATGCTTGTTACTATGTAAGGGAGTAAGATTTATGGTGATAGGACAGAGTGCAGAAAAGCCAGAACCACTGAACATAAAATTAATGACTCCTACAAGCATGTAGTGGTACCACTACTGAAACAATTCTAATAGCAAAGGACACTTAGATATGATAGATTAAAAGATACCTTTTATGTTCACATGGCATATGAAAAATACTATGTATCAATAGAAACACAGATATAACTACTGTACTTAAGGAGTCATGCTGAAAGTGCTTTAAAACTGAATAGGAATATAACCAGAATATGGTTGTAGAATTGTTGTCAAAGCTCAGGGAACAGCAGTGTTAGCTGGCAGAATCTTTTCTTACATGCAGAAGGGTCCTGTACTTTTTGGGACTCTACATACATATTAATAATAAAAACGGTGTTTTTGTCTGAGTTCAGAGAGCAGTCATGTAAGCTATCATAAGCTCCTAGTGAACCATGTATTTATTTGCATTAGACAATGCTATATAGTAGCTGCAATAGAAAAAGCCCAATAGACAGCCTGTGCCACTACAGAAAAAAACAGAGCAAGCAAAATGATTGAACTAAAAAAGGTATTATATTATGTAAAGGATATCCTGACCCCTTTCCAGCAGAGTAGTGAGCTGGCTGGTATGTAAAGAAAAAGACATAACCTTTTTATCCCAGTAAAATTAAAATGTGCAGTTGTATCTGCAGCACCATGAGGGGGGAATTGTCTGGCTGGCTTTAAAGTTCTGTGCATGCTGGCCTTGCTTTATGCTTGTCCATATACAATCAGCACATGCTTATTACAAAGCATCAGCTTGCTTTCTTGTCTCTGCCACCCTCGGGGAATGCATTTAAAGGTACCTCTATTTAGGGCCTGTTAGCCAGTACATGCCAAGTGTTCCATGTAGTATCTCTCAGATGTCAACCTGAAGGGACAATCTTTGAACTTTACATTAGTTCTTGTTCTTTAAGTAAATTACTGAAACAAAAAATGCTTGTCAAGATGGTGAGATCAGGGAATAAAAGAAAAATGTGTTGGACATCCTCATATTATTCTAAATTGCATTAAGTTTTCCCTGAGTTGAGAATGGCATTTGAAATTAAGTTTTTCACATTCTTTTAAGGCTTCTATTGTGTGTGTTCATGGCAGATCTAAGGTATCCAATTCTTGAAAGTGTCCAACTGTCTTTTCTCACTTTACAGTGTAGTCATTTTCTTTGCAGGAAGAGCTGTGTGTATTTTCCCTATAAAAAGTTCTTCAGCTGTCTGTGAATCAGAATGTTTTTCAGTACAATCCTGTTTTATTTCTGTCCACCTGCTTGTGTTAATAAATTGCCTTATTTTTCTTCAAACAGAATATATTAATAGCACTGCACAAGAGATTGAAGAAACATGTGAAAGCTTTGCTCTCCTGAACAGAGGCTTGGGTTACCATTGTTTGGTCAGTTCAGGAGAACCTTTCCATTTGTGCTGACAGCTGAGGTTCCCAGAGTGCAATAATAGGCCCTGAAGAACACAGTGCTCTTACACATTCATAAATCTCCTGCTGGGGCCCACTGTTAAACCCTTTTTAACCCCTTCCAGATTTGTAGCCATTCTTCATTTTCACCTGAATCCTTTTGGGAGCTCTACCTGCTCCTTTTTATCACCACTAGGCTCCCATTGCCATAAGGAGGGTGAAAATATTAAATACTTCCATACTTGAACTTCTCAGCTGTGTTCTCTTGGGTTTGACTGGTTTTTAGAACTGTGATCTTTTCAATATAGTTAAAAGTATTTGCTTCCACTTTATCCTACTTTAACTATGCATGATGTCAAACTTACCATCAACAAAACTTGGAAAGGAAGACACTTTCTTCGTCTGTTGAGAAAGAAAAATAATATAGCTGTAACAAATTAAGTGAATTTTTATTACATTTAAACAGCTGACCACTGTCACATAGGCACTGTTTAGCACACTGGACACATTACATCACAGTCATTAACCCAACCTGACTGTGTCACAGTGCTCTGTACTTGGGAGTCTCAAAGTATTTTAAGGTCCCACCAGACAAAAAAATAAGGGAGGCAGGGGAAAGACCATGAAAATGGCCTAGGAAGTCAGATGTCAAAGGAACAATTAGTTGCTTATTAGTGATAGGCAATGAAGTCTCAAATTTCCAATAAAGAATATTTAACAATGTTTTACAAAGCAAGATTCTGGGTCAGTGAATGAAAAGTAGTGCCCCTGATTGCTCAGTATGTAGAATTACACTTCATCTTAGCAGAGGCCATAACACTGCTCTTCTTAGGCTACTGCCCCTAGTCTCAATGAATAGATAGAGTCCTTCCAGTCTTTGTTTTTTGCCATCCTCCTCAATCATTTCCAGTAAGGAGGCTGATTTCTCCATTATGGAGAAATGTGCCTCTTGGTTAATATAACAGGCTACAGGCTAAATACGTTATGGCTTTGAGATAGGAGACTTCCTCTTTTAAGTCTTAATTTCATTTCATTGTGGCTAGCCCCAAGCATATCTCATTCTGCATTCTCAGATGTCTTTTTTGCAGAGCAGGTCTGTCTATCACTGTGTCTCTTCACAGCTGACTAAGCCAGGACTGACATTGGGGCAGGGGGGAGGAATGGAAGCAGAACATGATTTCTTTTGGACGCCACTTTTGCACTCCAATAATCCAAAAACTGAATTTCTGAAACGTTCCTCCTACTCTGCATGTCATCAGAAAATTTTAGACTTAAGTACCTACCGTAGACAGTTATATAAAATGAATGAGGCAGCAAAAATTCATGGGTATAGTTCAAAACCTTTTCAGAGTAGGCAGATATGGTATTTATTGTCAGTTCAGGAAAAGGAAGGGAGCCTGGGTTTGTGTGAGTGAGAGGGAGAAGGCTGCCAGTGAGGGCTGCTCTCCCTGCTGGAAGCCTGGCTGCAGGAAGCCAGGCACAACCTACCTCGGGGGGATTGTTATTGTCAGCTGGGCCATTGAGGTCTGAACGCTGCTGCTTCCTGGGCTGCTCTAAACCATTGCACATCTGCAAGGGAAAAGAAGGGATTTCAAATCTTTTCGTTTTCTGGAAAGCTTCAAAACAAAGTGGAGATTTCACAGAAGTCGATGAGGCAAAGATGATCAGAAAATTTTGACCAGATTAAATTAAATAAAAATTCACAAAACATTAACATATTAAACTCTATTTATTATGTTCCCCGTTACTTATCTGAAGTTATTTATGTACTATCAGCATTCATTACTGATACCAAAATATTATAATGTGATATAGCAGTTGGAATTTCCTACTGTAATTGAGCAAATATCAGTTTCACATAAAAATGTTAACCTGCTTAATTATAATAAAATATCTACTTTGATGAAAATAATAGGACATTTAAATTAAGTAGCAGTTACAGTACTGATTTAAATTTAAATTATTTTATGTCAATGCAAATTTTTCACATGAAATTAAGTCAAATGCTATCACGGCCAAGTAAATCAGAAAGCAAAGTCAGAATTTTTAAGTGTTCATTCTCAGTATTGTACAAAATCAAAACAGCCCTAAGGGCCATCTCTGATCTGAAAAACAGAATTCTAACACTGAATGTAGTATCCTATGTTTGCAGGAGATACTTCAGGGCATCTCCTTCCTCTTGGGCCAAGCAAATCTACAGGATGCTGATAGTACAACCTCAGGCTTCAGAAGAAATGTGAAAGAGAAAATATAAAATCATACACAAAGAAAATACTAAGTATTTTAAACTACAGAACACTCTTTTTTTCCTGTTCCAGTAGTCTCAGGGGCAGAATTTCTTTTCCAGACCTAATCCAAGTCACACAGCACCACCTGACAGGACAGTGCCCTTATCCTCTAAGTACCAAGAAAGTGACATTTTCATGGCTCAGATTTTCAGTGCTACAAATGTGGAAAACCAAGGTGATTGCTGGAAGAACTTTTTATGGTTTAAGATATTTCATTTTCCCTTTTTTCTTAGTTTCCCTATAATGCATAAAAATGAGGGTCAAAATGCCACTGCTATTGTAAAGCTTCAGAAACAAAAACTTGTATTGACAATTGTGCAAATGGAAACCACTGAGGATTATTTGAAAGGGTCAGCCTGAATTTTAAATGGGAATGTAACTCCTTGGCTTCTGAGCTTCAAACACAGTATGTAGCTGTAGGCAAAGCAAGTCTTTATGTTCACCTCCAGACAAATGATTCCCTATGACTAATGTTTAGTCAGAAGAACAAAATATGCTGATGAAGCAGGCACATTAGAGCTCAGTAATGACAATTTTCAGGTAAGACAACATACACAGACCAAAGATTCACCCAAGTAGTAAGCAGGACTTTAAGAAAGAAACTACTATATACTGATATACTGATATACACTGAGATATACTGAGATATACCCAGACTTGGGAAACTCACCATATCCCTGCTTATAAACACTATTCTGTTTGAGACAAGACAAATCTAATCATATTGCATGGCTAAACTAATAGGGAGCAATCTGTATTGATGTGCAGTGAAATGTATTTGAGGCAAACAAATATCTAGAGGACTTTATAATAAAACAAGTATAATAATCATACATTATTCCTTAAAGTAGCAGGATTTAGATCGAGTATCCTTTAAGCAGGGATTCTGACGTGGCCACAGTGAAGATACATTAAACTGTAAATACTGACAGCAAATACATGAACTCTAATATGTATAACAGAATGTCAGTATTTTTCAAGCTGTCAGTTCTGATTACCACACACTTGACTGAGCTGCAAATGTATCTGCATGTAAAGAAAGAATTGTCTGCTTTTGTAAGCATCACCTGGGTGCTGTAACATTGAAACGGGTCTGCCTCAAATCTGCCATCTCAGTGCATTCAGTTAGCCCTGGGGACCATGATACCAATAATGCTCTGTGGTAATTGTTGCATATGTAATTCCACATAGTTCTAATATCAAATCTGGCTAAACATTTGTATAGCTTCTCAGTTTTGATTTATCCAGAGGTGTGATTTACTGGAATGCCTATTTTCACAAAGCTTACTTTGTGACTTACAAATGTGACTTTCCCAGTCACACATGTAGTCTGTATGTTGTTATTGTGTACTTCCTGGTTCCAAAGAGAAGCCTAAGCAGAATTCACAATAAGTTGGCATCAATCATACCACATCTACAAGGAACCTAACCAATGATTTTTTTCTTGTTATTTGGTGTCCAAAAATGAAGGCTGTTATTTTCCCCCCAGAGTTGCATCTATGTGTTTAGGAGAATTACATCAGTAGCATGTCTGACCATATTCAGTTTCTCTGCTACAGGTAAAATATATGAAATGAAATTAGAAACAGAAAAAGAAAATTTCTTCATGTGATAATTTAACAGTTAGCTGAGAGATGATCAAGATGTCAAATGGGTGTGTAGAAAACTCCTACCTTCAGGGAGTTGTTAAATTTGAGTTGTTATAAAACACCCAAAATAGTCACTTTAACTTCATAGATGTGATGCCTTTCTTAAATAACATAAGCATGGAAAACCTGCAAGGAATGAGAGTTGTGCTAAGCAGTGAGTTGGAGCAAATATACATTTTAAATATATTCTAGGTTTCCCTCAGACTTGTCGAGTGCTAATCATTGCCTTCAGTGCTTCCCTAGAAGTATTTACAAATAAAGGCTAATCAAGCCAAGCTCCTATATCCCTGAAGTTTTCAAGCCTGTATTTAAGACAGGAGACTGGCATCCACATGGAAAGTCAAACTAGATGCTTATTTTGTTTCTCCTCTGTAACTTGTTGGGTCTTTCTTAAAATGTGACTGTTTTCTGGGGCAAACCTAGCAACAGGAACCTTTAAAATCACATTTGTTTACTTGTTATTTAGCAAATGTCTTGCAAACAGAATGTTGGCACCTATCATGAGCTAAGAATTAATAGCTGTGTATTTTAAAGGAATGTAAATATTATAATAAGCAGTAATTCTACCTATGTGAGGCAGGAGAGGAGCATGAAAAAGCTAAGCATAGCTGTCCATAAAACAACAAATGCACCTTTCTGCTTGCTCATTGTTTACAAAAACTGACCTACACTGAGTACATCTTGATTTAACCTAGACATACTCAAATCTACATTTATTTAAAGATAACAGAGGGAAAAAAGCTCTCTGTATGCAATATGTATACCTCTGTTATCCCTTTCAGCATAATATTTTGTACTGTGAGATACACACTTAAAATAACAGATCTTTTAGCAAGGTGACAAAACCAAGGCTCTTTTAGGCAGCTTCTCTGCAAACAGTAAGTTTAGCATGCAAATGTACTGCCAATAGCCTTGGGGGTTTTTTTCCTTTCACTATGGAAGAAATTGAATTATTGTAGTTGGTTTAAATATTGTAGTTAAAATTATGGCTTGGTTTCACAAATGAGACACAAGTTCATTTGGGCAGTACTCTAATTCCATCAATCCCTTTCATAGTAAATATTAAAAGAATTGAATGTCCCAGAAGAAAAACAAAACCCTCTGCACTTTATCTAAATTCTTTGAGGTCCACTATTAATGCTAAATATCCAACCACACCTTGTGCTAAGAACTTTTAAGGAGCTATCAAAAAAAAAAAACTAACTTGGGCAGAAATGAGTACTGAACTCTCATTCTGATGCCCTCACTATGAGCCTGATTCATGGGTAAAGTGAAAATGATTACCTGCAGTAGGTGAGAAGAACACAGCAAGATAAGACCAGTCTTGTCTTGACACACACATTTGAGTAATGCTTGCCAAAGGTTATTGAGCTTGTTTTTCACTCTTTCTTTTACATCCCTGAAGGCTTGGGGTGGGTAGAGGGAGAATTATCTCATGTCTCCAATCGTGAGCCTCTGTATCTCTGTAAGAAATACCACTTCACAGATTTTTGCCTTGGAGGCTTGTGCTCTTCTCTTCAGTGAAGTGTCCACAGCAGCTGTGCCTTGTTGCCTTTCTTATCAATGAAATGCATGCCTTATCAGCCAGCTTGTTTAGCCTGATCTGGAGCAGATACCTGTACTGCTGTATCTCTAATTTCCTGTCTCCATGTTTGAAGAAATGAAACGCTGTGTACTGTCCAGTGCTCTCTAGCCATTAAGACAGGAGTTCATGGTTGCTATTAGAAGTGATGCTATAAGCTCAGTGGCTTCATCCAGCCTAGGGTTACCTGTCACAGCAGTGCTTCCCTCATTATAAAATAAGATGAAAGCATTGGTCCAAGACTGACAGGAAATAATAATCAAAGCTCAGACTGGCAGTTCAGAAATATGTAGGTTTGTTTTTTTTTTTACACCTGGGCACTTCTACCAATATCCAGGTGTTGTTACACAACCCTCAGCTGTTCAGAGTCTATTAAAAATGACAAAGGTACAATGCAGGTCAGCTCAGCTTCTGATAAATAAATTCCAAAACAACAAAAAGTTGTCAAAATGAAAGTCTATTTCAAATATTGTTTTGAATGGGTAATTGTTCAGTGCAGGGGGGGAAATCTAACAGTCACTTAACCAAGCATTGGGGAATTTTTTCTTATTCAGGAGCTCCTCTTGTCTTTTGTTCTGCAAATATTTTGAGAATTTGCAAGGAACAACATTCCCAGTAGTAGCTGCTGGGAAAAGACCATCATTAAGTCTAAAACATGCTACCTCAACCTCTGTGCTCCCAGCCAACACCTAGTAGCTGTTCAAACTATTCAACATCAGCAAGCTTATTCACAAAGGGACTTTTATGCTGGCAGTAGGGCACTGAATATAGTAAGTTGCACAATTTGGGTATAATTATACTTCTGGAAATAGCATGTGGTAATGAATATTAAAAACTTGCTGCAGATATGGGAAATCTGAAAATATCCCCCTAAGACTTCTTTTTGTTCACAATTATAATGAAGGTCAACCTGTTTCATCAGCATAGACTTAAACATTTGATTTCCTTTTACTGTTTTTCAGAGGAATTAATGTATTTTAATGGAATTGCCTAGACTAAATTGTTTAACTGTGGGGTACTTAATTATAGAAAATCCTATTTACAGAGTTGATAAAGCTGAAACAGGAAAATTAGGTATGCAAAGTTTAATAAAGCATTTTAATTAAAGATTAGGCAAAATAATTCATTTATCCTTATGAGTTTGTTATCCAAGCACATGTTGTTTTACCTCTTTTAGGTCTCTTTTAGGTAGATCTGTTCATTGCAGAAGATAACTAATATTCAATAGCAAATAATTTTAGAGATGCATAGTCAAGGCTTTAAAATGACATTAGGGAATGAGGTATGTCTCTAAGAAGTAACCACATTCAAATTGAAACTTCAGGGAAAAAAGTCACACCTCTTTTCCTTTACAAAAGCTTGAGCTTCATTTTTAGACTCTTTTTCTGGCACTCAGCATTAGAACAAGAAAAGATCATGCACAGTTTAAATCAATTTCTACATCATTCTTGTGATAAAACTGCTTAACAACATTTTTGGTAAGAGTAAAACTCCTATTTCTTCTTCCTTATCCAGGTCAAAATATGTCCAGCTAGTAAGAAAACCCACAGCAATGTGCAGGCACTTCTTGAAGGTTTTTTTAACATACACAGTATCTAGATTCGACATACATTCTATGGAAAACAGAAAGTTATCAACCACTAAGGCAATGGTACAGGAGTCAGAATGAAAATAGTTTAAAGAAACTGTTTTTGCCCAATGCATCTGGAATACCTTTGTTTGAATTGTCTCTTCTCTGTGCAAAACCTCTTCTCTAGATCTCTACATATGCTGATTACACTTAGCACCTCTTTCTAAACACAATGTTATTATGTGAATGCAGTCACAGTAACATTTTAAGTACTGCTAATACATTTACATAATAATAGATTAAAAAATATTGCTAATTTTGTTTGGAATAACTAATGAAACACTTGCATAAGGCCTCTGAAAGTCTGGTTAAAAAAAGCACCTCATACCTGCTCCTGTGGCCACTTCTGTCTGTCCTCTGGGGATCTTGACTTTGCTTTAAAACCTCGATGCACATCTCCACTGTGCTTAGAGGCAGATGGGATATTCAGAGATTTTGGCCTCCCCTCGTGCCTGTTAGCACTGTGAACAGCTTCTCCCTTTGAACAAGTCTCTTTGTAGTCATGTGCCATGTTTTCAGTCCCAGAGTGCTCTGGACTCATTTCTGTTGTACTGTTAATGCTGCTCATGCTCATACTCATTTTGATTTCTGCTACAATCTGGTCAATGTCCTCTTCCTGTTCTTCCAGCTCTGCATCCTCTTTTCTAGAATGGTATGGTGATATTCCCTGTGAATTTCCATTAGCCTCTGCTGGGTAATAGTCCGGATAGTCACCTTCACTTTGACAGTACTGTATGTTTTCTTCTTGGTCTTGGATCTCCAAAGATGATGCTTCATCCTCCAAAATCTGAATGCCATTGTCTTGACCTTCCTGCCACTCTTGCCTGTCCATCACCTCATTTTCATCTTGGTGCTGAATTTTACCTTCAGCCCACTCTTCTACTGCTTCCTGACAATCATCTGTTTCAACATGGTGTTCCTCATGGGGAGCATACTCCTCCCCATTGCAGTCCATTCCTTCCAGGTAACTGTCATCCTCTGGACAGTATCTGATGTAGTATGTGATCCCCTCCTCTTCTTCTGGCAAGCCTTCGTCGTAGTCCTCCTCCTCAGAAGTGTTGTTTACATAGTCAGAGCTGGAGTCACCATCTCCACTATGGTCATTGCACTCATGCTCCACAAGGGTAGGACTACCTGGTCTGACAGTTGCTAATTCTGCCTCTTTTTCTGCATAATCTTCAATGGGAAGGTCACTTTCTTCATTTTCAGGCTCCCTGTTGTGAGAAGAAGTCGGGCAAGCTCTGGCTCTGTGATCCAGCATGCTGGCTGTAATGCTTTGATGTTTCCTGTTTGCCATAGCCAGCTCCTTACATGACAATCATTTCCAGCAATTACTGCAGGGAAGATGGAAAACACACATTCAGGAAAAGGTCATCAGCAGAGAACAGTGATGTTAATAGGAAGCAAACTGATAGATTCATTTGGTAAAAAGCCTGTGTTTGGAGATATTTGACCAAATTCAGACAGCTAACTTTCAAAATGCTTATGCTATGGAACCATGAAATCAAAGTAATAAGTTGCACTCTGAAAGGAACAGAAAAAGGTTCTACATTTATGCTAAATGTATTCTAGTGCAGGCTCTCTTCTGTCAATTTGACAGAAAATTAATCCTGAACCTTGAAATTAGTTTTCAATTTCTCTTTCTTGCCAGTAAGGGGTCATGCTTTGATCGCTATGCAGTAAACGGGACCTCTTTTCAATTTTCAGCTTAGGCATTTCTTTAACGTGTACAGAAAGCAAACGTTTAGAATATGACCTGCTCTTACCAAAACTGAAGGAAAATAATTCTATTAACTTGGCAGTCACATAGCATGCTAAAAGATAATGCATTTGTATTAAAAGTGTTATTTTTTTAAAAAGCATTGCTGGTTTTTTAGCCCTTTCTAACTGGATACCATTAAGTATCTTCCATTGTTAAACCAAATACTGCTTTTAGAATAGATTATTTCAGTTGGAAGGGACCTACAACAATCACCCAGTGCTGACCAAGGTAAAGCATGCTTTAAGGGCCTGCTCTAAATGCCTCTTTAAACACTGACATGCTTAGGCAGTGACTGCCACTGGAAGCCTGTTCCAGCATTTGACCATGCTCTTGGTAAAGAAATGTTTCCTAATGTCCAGTCTGAACCTGTCATGATACAGCTTTGAACCATTCCTAAGCATCTTATCACTGGATACCTTCTCTGGGGAGAAGTTGAGCACCTCCCTTCCCACTTTCCCTCTGGAGGATGCTGTAGAGGGCAATGAGGTCACCTCAGCCTCCTGTCTACAAACCAGACAATCCCAAAGCCCTCTGCCACCCCTCAAAGGACACTTCCTTCCAGCCCTTTCACCAGCTCTGCTGCCTTTCTGTGCACACATACAAGGACCTTCACATCTTTCTTAAATTATGGGGTGCAGGAGTGCACACAGCACTTTTGGAGGTGAGGCAGCATCAGTGCTGAATGCAGTGGGGTAATCCTCTCCTCTGACCAGCTGGTCACAGTGCTTGACAGAGCCCAGGGTGTGCTCTGCTCTCGGGGCTGCCAGAGCACATTGCCGAGTCCTGAACTGCTGTCAGCCAGCACCCGGAGCAGAACCTGGCATTTAGACTTGTTAAATTAATCATGGCCCAATGCCCCAGTCTATCCAGATCCCTCTGCAACAGATCCCTGTTTTTCAAAGTCTAATCTATATTCCAGATAAAAGACACATTTACAGTAAAAGCTCATCAATTCTTCTTGCTAAACACTTGTGCTATTTTAAATTACTTTTATTTTTTTGTCTAAATACTGGATTCTAAATAAGTAGGGGTTATATGAACTATATGAAAAATAATTAAAGAAAATAGCTAATTCTAGACAGGCTTGACAAGCGTGATCTGCTGCATGATTTGCAAGGGAGAAATAATATACTTTCAGTATTTGTGTTTCTCTGTTGTATCCTTCTGATGAACTTGACCTGTGCAGTTACTTCATTGGTGTGAAGTGAGCTGAGGCTCCTCACCTGCACCACACTACTGCAAGAACATTTTGATTTAACCAGTTTCCCAAGGCTTGAGCAATAAAACTAGCATGGAGCTAGAGGATTAGAGGAACTATATAGGGAGTAATTTCTTGGGCATTATGGTCTTAGAAAAGAAAAATCCTGTCATTGTAACCTAGAACCTTATAGATATCCCTGTAGAACTTCTGATACCACATGAGAACTCCCAATCCTTAGTTTGTGACAAATCCAGGGACCTGATGTGTGTATGGATCATTGCAAAGATATCACATGGCAAATCTATCCCTGAAACGTGGGCTCTAGATTCTGAGATACAAAGCAGAGATGATGTTAATCACAGGAGGAGGTATGAAAGGAACCCAGCATATGGAGCCCTTTTTAGTTATTGTTACCTTGCAGCATTAGTCTTGATAGAATAAAACTTTAAAGTTAATAGTGTATCTAAAGAGAAGTTTTAAAAAATCAGAGAAGGCAAAACTTTCTCAGTGATTATTTGCCCCTCCTCACTATTGGAAGAAGTAGCAGACTTGCAAGGTTTTCTCAATGCAATCTGTATTCCCATTATCCCTTTAATAATAATGACACTTTTTGACTTTGGAGTCAGTTACAAGAGACTCAGAACACCAAGCCATCCACACATTAGGTTTACCTCGGATTTAGTCAGCTCTTACTGCAAACTAAGGATGTTTCCATCCTGTGACTGCAGTATCAACAAAACATATTTTACATTGGATTACAATATAATAATCTAAGTCACAACATCATAATGCTCTGCACAGGCTGCAAAAAACTGCCCTCAAGCAAGACAAATTGCTCATATGACCATTTCAGGCAAGAATACACCACACAAGCATGTCTAAAATGAGTTAAGATGGAGTGCTGTAATAATTTTGAATAGCACTGCTAGAAAACTACAGGGATCTCATCTGGTTTAAGCAAAAATTATTTTTTCTCAAGAACAGAACAAATTAAGTGCCTCTGACTGAAAGAAACATTCTCATCTGCAATGGCCTCAATCCTCCAGTGGAAATATTATCCATATTAAATAATACTTTAATATTTACAGTGCAGTTGACCCAGTGCATCAGTCAGTACAGTGAAGCTGAAGATACAAAAGCACAGAACCTGTAACAAGCACAGTTTGAAGCCCATGACTCAGATTTTCCTGAAGGATATGGAGATGAGAACCCTTTTTTTAGCCAGTGTGATGGAGTTTTTCCACCCACATCTAAGACTCTTCATTTAAGGCCCTAAAACTGCCATAAATGGTAACTCTACAGTGATAACCTTCTATAAATTCCAGTAGTGAATGCTCAAAGATGTTACTCACCTGCAGGTAAATCCACTGCTTTCTGGATATTCTAAAACACATTGCAGGAAGCCACCTGAATGTGATCTGAGAGGCAAAAGGCAGGGCAGGAGCCTAGGGAGGGAGGGGTGGCTGCTGAGTGAAGCTTTATCAGCTGTGGGGAACCTCTAGGGTGAGGGTTCCCAGCTGGGCACTGCAGTCCTGCCTCACCAGGGGCCTCTTAATGTGCAGCTCCACTGTAGTGTGAAAAACTTAAAAAAAAAATAGTGGCAGACTGGGAATTTTTTTAAGCACAAGTGGTAAGAAATAGAGAAAATAATTCCTCTCAGGCATGTCTAGCACTGATATACTGGGACATGGGAAATGGGTTTTCAGTTATTTCATCCTGAGCAATGATTGAGGATAGTCCTGTACTTCTGTATGCTGGAACTGAGGCAAAATAAGCTGGATTTTTTGGTGAGAGGCAATGCTGATCTTAATGCTACGGAAACTGAAGCTACAAAGCAATCTCTGCACAACTGTTACAATTCTAGTTGGCCTCCTTTGCAATCTTCTCAGGCACTACTCTTAAGGTAACAAAGTACTGAAATAAAAAGGCAGAATTTATTATTTTCAGCCCATGAATTGCAGACTGAATGTGCACTGATTACAGCATCTTCAAGTACGAAATGTAACTTCTCCAACTGTACCAACACATCAGAATTACTGAGCTGAGTTTTCAAACACCAGTCTGAGAACTGCTCTTTATGTAGCTGTACATGCATTGCTGTCAAGGAAACACACAGCTGTATTTTAACTCAAATATTAGAACAGCCAGGACAGCCTAGTTTTCTTCTCCTCTATCAAAATATCTCTCAAGCTTCCTAGCGAAATGCTTTAGTCACTGATTAGTTTTAGCAGAACGTGAATATTTTAAGCTGTTTCATGTCACACAGCAATGTTCCTGAGGGCCACACATCTGAACTCTTCTGTCTTCTCACCTACAGAGACATTAATCTTCCAGGTTTTAAAAGTACAAAAGCAGAATTTTAACTTTTTCTTTAGAAATAGAACAGTTACCATGTATTCTGCTATTCAGACTACTGCACAAAGCCTTCTGAGTCCCTGACTGCATGGGCTAGTGCTTCAGCTAATATTCACATCAGTTACTGTAACCTTCTAACATCACAGGTATCTTGAGAAAATTAGAACTTGGAGAAAATACTGGATTTCTATACAATGTTACTCAGTGTTGAAGTGAAGAGTAATGATTTGCTGGATCCAGAGGCATTTTATCAATAAAGGCTCCAATTGAGCCTACAGATCATTTCCTCTGCTTGGTGTAAGATTCCCTCCTACTTCTTGTATCTCACCTCCCTCTTTGATAGCAGAGAGTTAGGTCAAACTTTGCATTACTCCAAGCACATTTTTCCACTTCTGGCTGCAGCTGGGATGAAGTGTTCCTGGGAACATGGATCAGTGCTGGATACCTGTTTACCTTCCTTGGGGTTCAGTAATTTTATCTTGCTGAGACAATCCAACCCTGTCCTCAGTTGTAGAGTGCATCCCTAGATCTCCATCAGTGTTGTCAGGATCAGTGAATAAGGGACCAGTTACAGAGGGTTCTCAGTAAAAACGCTTTTCTTTCAATAATGGTTTTACTTTATTTGTCTTCATTTTCCCTGGCTCAGCTCAATGTTGAAAGGAAAATCAATCTCCAGGAAACACATGCTGCATTTCCATGTGAGAGTAAAAAGGAGTATGCTTAGGGGAGCCAATTTCTTCTGCTCCCAAAAACAGGACTACTGGGTTACAGCTGGAATTTATTCTAATCAGTGATCATTATACTCATTAGCTTTCTCCTGAGTGTGCTGCACCTAATCCCAGACAGCTGCAGTGAGGGATTTATGAACCTTAACACTTCTCATTTTTTCACCAGTGTAGAAGGATCTCTTTACTGTCTTCCCAGTAAAAGAGACCAATTAAATTAGCATTAAAAATGGGAAATGGTACACAATTATGAACATAAGGAAATACCCAGTATTGTACTGCTGGCTGTGG